TTTTGAAAGACATTTTTCTCTCATTATGCTAATACCATATTTCGGTTTTGTGGGATATATGCTGCCTTATACTTGGCAGATAAAAAGCAACCTACTTACACCCCCAGCTGAGTATCAAACCTATGTTTTGAATTCACCCCCAAACTATTCAAAATAATCATACAGCCCACGAAATTTTTGCACTGTTCTCATTTTACAGAAGTTTTTGAATTGAAATAATATAAATGAGATATTTGTTACTATAATGGCACCATCAAGTTAGCATTGTTGTTGATAAGCTCCAAAATCATATCAAACCCTAATACAAAACAGTAGAAAAATAAACATCTGCTGGCTTGTTTGTTAGGGTTGGGGTTTTTGCTTGTATGTGGGGTCTGGTTTTCTTCTTTCGTTTTCAACTAACTCTAATTCCATGAAAACAAACCACCAATTAGTTAGTTACTTTTAGGATACCAAAATTGCATTCAGAACTCCTTTGGAATAAATAAAAGTAATTTGCAATTTATTTTCTCATTTATCTTGAGGGCATAAGGAAGTCATTCAGTCATTCTAAGCTACGATGGCCATCACAACACCAAAGAAACAGAAGGCATAAGAGACCACTGAAAAACAGAGGAGGAAAATAATGAAATGTCTGAAAATGAACTTAACCATCCCTGGAGCCAGTCATATCGAATCATGGCTATACAACCCAGGAAGAACACCATCAAGACACTGCACGTAACAAACTAGGTAAGTAATTGAAAGCATAAGAATTTCCATAAACTCTCTTCATATGTGCTCCAATTCTTCCTTTTTAAGTTAACAAGCACTTACGTCACCGAGAGCTTTGAAAGCGGAAACCATGTAACACATGGCCTTATTTTCCCTTCCATTTCTTTCACTTTTAAACATATGTGGCTACATGACACAAACATCCAAGCATAAATCATATGAAGCATCCTTACCCTCGTGTGCATTACAATGTCCTAATAAAAAGATGTAAAAAGAGTATTTTCAATCACACACCATCAAAAGCGCTTCTGTTTCAATTACAAAACATTTGTCCTTCTGCAAAAAAAGCCATCCACGTTACATCTTAAAATGACTGCAACTGAATAGGTAGAGGCACATTTAATTATAGTGGGCTCACCTTTAAAAGCAAAGACCAAACAACCTCCAGGGTTTGAAAGGAAGAGACTCTAATGCAACTACCTTGACCCCTGGAAGTGCTGGGTCATTTTCTTCTGTGATGAACAGCGATTGCTTTCTATAATTCTAACAATTGTCAAGTAGGCTAAAGAGTATGGCTGGCAGGTGATAGTTGTGAAATGCCTGCACTTTTAACAATGACTTATTACCCTGTAATATAGGTCAACTGTCCAATTCAGCATCTTCTACAAGATGTTATAGGCTCTTGAAGCCCATATACTACAACTGACATCAGTAGTTTTATTAGGGATCAAACCAGTGTATATGGGACTTAAGAACAGAGAGAACTGTTAAAGGATACAGTCCTAATCCAAACGATTACATGAGAAAGACTCTAAGACATCCAAATCTACTGTACACATGAAATATGTCATTGTGGTACATAACTGTTGACACCAGACAACCATGCATATATCTTAAGTACAGGACATCAAACTTACACAACTATTTGTTAATAGCAGTGAGAATACAGAAACCAGTTACTCTACAGGTAAGTGAAGCCTCATTCTGTAAATATAGACTCAACCTCATAGAAGAACACAGATGAAACTGTATCAACAGTACACAGAATTAGATGCTGCCAGGTGCTAAAAGATACCTGAATTTTTATCAACAAAGAAAAAATATGAATTCAGAAATAACAGTGAATTTATCAACCATATTGATCTTCTCTGAACTAACCAGAATTAGCTTCTTCAATATATAGACTAAAATTCTGTATTTTGCTGGAATAAATCACACAGACATAGATAGCCACAGTATGAACATATTCTAAAAATTAACAATCTGGTTTACTGTGGTTTAAAATCATATTCCAGACAACCAACAGTTCACATACACAGTTTGGTACTGTGCTGCACTAGTACTCGTACCTGTGCACACAAACACAAAACTTTATTTTCAGTAACACACAATGCATAGTTAAAAGCTATTTTTTGACACTTCATGCAGAAATTGCAAGTGTCCTTCAAGGCCTACTTTTAAAAAATCTGGCAATAAAACATGCTTATGTTTTTTCATACTGAAATACCCCAAATTGTACTGAATTATGATGACTACTATTATCTACTTCTAGGGAATAAAAGTGGAGGACAGTTTATTAAAGCACAGGAGGAACTCCTGAACACTGGAAGGTCACAGCCTATGTGCTGAGCTGCTAAGCAAAAACATCTATGATGTTCCAGAGCTGCCATTTTTCTTCCTTGACAAAGACTCCATCTGCCACAGAGCCATTTACAGCCTCAGAGTCAGAATATCAATGATTTTCAACCATTCTGCAAGTCTGCTTTCACCTTGACATCACCTCTGCAATACATCTAAAGCAGATGATACATATAACCCCTCTACAAGCTCTAAGCCCATGCTTTATTCAACTGATATGCGTTTAAGCTCTGCTCTAACATACCCTTGCTTTACTTCCTCTGAATTGTGCAAGAATATCAAAACTCCATATTCTACATATATCCTTTTCATTGCTGTGCTTGTTTTAAATAAATTACCTTTGGAAAACCTAAACAGGAAACCTTTCAAGTATCAACAAAACATGTAAAAACAGTTAGAAAACATCTGATCATCTAAAAATCTGTATTTACATAACATACATGCACACAGCATCAATTTATTTTTTTCTTTTCCAAATAAACATGTCCAGTAGGATCCTTATTACAGACCACCATGCAGAATAAAGTATCACAGCTTCACTGAAACCAACAAAACTACATTCAGCTCTACATCTCTTGACGTATATGCAAACTGATTTTAAAAAAAAAAAAAAAGTCCGGGTTAGAGCTGGGTCAAGAAGGGAAAGAATCTTGCCTTACTGAATGAATACCCAAAGAATTAGGTCCTGAGACAAAGCAATTATATATGGACTGATAAAACCAATTTTTTATTTATATATTCATGTATCCACACACATGTATACATGTATACATACACTCTCCACCAAGTTTGAGAATATACAGTCCATCATCAGGCTCATCACAACATGACTTTAATGAATGCATTCACTGATAGCAACTTTTGCAGTCTTGAAATTCAGGTAGATGTTAGTACTCTAGAGTAATTTTTAAGCATGCAAACTTGCAGCTTGATTCTATAGTGAAAATGGACCACAGAAGAAATAATTTTGTATTACACATATATATATGTAGGCAGGTATGATCACACAGCTAAATGTCCAACTACTGCCATATAAACCCTCAATATGTTAAATACATAGAGGCAAAATATTTGAAGACTACACAAAACTTGGACACAACTTTAAAAAAAATGTACCCTGTAAAATACATATTTTATAATCTCAACTTTGCCTCTCAACCTTTCTTCTCATTGTCTGTCTTTACTTCTTCCTGTTACAGAGTAGTACTGTCAGACACTTAATAAATTCAATGTGTTCTACATGCTCTCTGCCCATTATTCACTTTGTTCAGGCTGCTTTCAATATTTCGAACATAAGCATAATTTAGGCCAAGAAGATTTTTCTAAATCCATGTGGAAAAAATGTCTCTTCATCCTCCACAATACATTGCCCCCTAGAATCTCCCTGGCTAAACTATGCTAGGACTTGGGTAGGCTGCAGTATAAGGTTGAAGTAGTTCAGGCAGTACCTTTGTGCTTGTCTTAAGAAGGGTAGGATCAGATATACACAGCTGCATATCCAACATGTTTATTTTATGACTTACAGGTACTCACCTGACACTCTCATATCATGTCTCTTACCCAAAAAAACCCAAAACCAACCAAACAAAAAATCCCCAGCAAACTTGTTTAATTTTCCATCTGCTATCAGAGACATTTCAGTTGTTGCTTACCTCATTTGCAATTAAACTATCCCTACCCATCTCCTCCTTACCACTAGCTAATTTGGGGTTTTAGTGGTGTTAAAGTAGGTCGGCAAACTACAGAATACAAGGGAGCATCTGCATGAAACATACTGTCTCAAGTCAAATACAGACCAGCATTTCATTGTTCACAATTTGCACCTAAGAGTCAGACCTGAAGACAGGCACCATGCTGCATCCAGATTTAAGGCAACTGTTCCCAAACTGCAGAAAACCAGGCCCAACAGAAAAGCAAAGGAACGTATCCTTGAGAGGATGTACTACAGTGCAGCAGAGCTGAGATGACCAAGATAAGGTATTCAGGCATGACCACATCAAAGAAACAGCACTACTCTAAGAAAGATTTCACTGAGGATGTGGAAGGCCAGGGGAAAAACCAAGCGCCAATCACTGTCAGAAATCCAGTATCTCTCAGTCTTACACAACTGCAGCTGTCTTCTACCACGTATTGCCTGCTATGAAGCACTGACTTGACTCAATAATTCCTTGATGCTACTCCCTCTTTCTAATTTTACCTTCCTTGCTTAAAAATCCTAGGAGTAAAGAGACAAAGAGGAACAAAAGGAAAATAATTAAGAACTTCCTAGTTAAGCCAGTATCATGAAGTTGCTTAGACTGGAAGAATCTTACAGCAGTCATCTGTCCCCATCTCCTGCTCAAAGCATGGTTAACTCTGAAGTTCTATCAAGATGCCATGAACCTTGTCCAGTAAACAAGATGCAGATTTTTCAGGCTGAGTGCCCATTTCAGTGTTTCATAGAATCACAGAATGGTTTGGATTGGTAGGGACCCTCAAAGATCATCTAGTCCAACCCCCCTGCCCCGGGCAGGGCCACCTTCCACCAGCCCAAGTTGCCCAAAGCCCCGTCCAACCTGGCCTTGAACCCTTCCAGGGAGGGGGCAGCCACAGTTTCTCTGGGCAAACCTGTCAGGGTAGAAAAAGTTACACCTACACCCAACCTACACCCGCCCTCTCCCTTGTCCTGTCACCGCAGGCCCCAGTAAAAAGCCTTTCCCTGTGTCTCTTATGCTCCCCCTTTACACTCTGAGAGGCCGCAGCCAGGGCTCCCCGGAGCCTTCTCTTCTCCAGCTGAACCCCTCGGCTCTCTCAGCCTTTCTTCCCAGCAGAGGGGTCCCAGCCCTCCGGTCGCTGTCGTGGGCTCCTCTGGCCCCGCTCCAACAGCTCCAGTCTGGCCGGCGCTGGGCCCCCGAGCTGGAGGCAGTGCTGCACGTGGGCTCTGACCAGAGAGGAGCAGAGGGGCAGAATCCCCTCCCTCGCCCCACTGGCCACGCGTGCTCGATGCAGCCCAGGACATGGCTGGATTTCTGGGCTGCCAGCGCACGGTGCCGGTTCATGAAGTTTGACGGCTTTCATTCTCAGGATTTTTTCCAGTCTATCTAAACAAGTTTTCCCTCCACATAATTTGTGTCTTTTGCCTCTTCTCTTTTTCCAGTTCCAAGAAGAGTCTGACTTTTCTTCTCTCTAATACCTTCTAGGCAGCTCAAGATAACCATTAGCTTCCCTAAGCCTCCTCAAGGCTGAACAATTCCAGTTCTCTCACATACCTGTACTGTCCTGCACTCCTGTTCCCTGTACATCTTTGCAGCCAACCACTGGACTCACTGAAGTATGTCTCGACCTTCCTTGTACTGGGGACCCCCAAACTCGGATACAGGCAGCACTCTGGATGTGGTCTCAAGGGCAGATGGGACAGTGGGAATCACCTCCCTCAGGCTGCTGCCTACACTCTGGCTAACATACCCCACTGATGCAGTTGGCCTATTTCGCTGCAAGAGTTTAGGGCTGACTCATATTCAGCTTGCTGTTTGCCAGAACCCCAAGGGCCTTTCTACTACTGCCCCCAACCCATCCTGCTAGGCAAAAAATTCTGAAACAAATCTTTTATTCTTATTCACCCACTGTTAAGATAAATTAGTAAATGGTTTACGGACTACCAATGCTACAAGCAACAGAAGAACAGAGCTACAACCACAAATCAAGAAGCCATGGCCTTGTGCCTTTCACACATGGTTGAAGAGAGATGCTGATCAGTATGCTGCTTCCAGTTACTAAGCTGTTCTTTTTTCACATCAGTTTCTCACAAAGCACACATCTAAGCTCTTCCAGTTGTCAAGCTAAAAATAAAAGAACACTCATTGTTTATTTAACTAAGGATCCCAGTTGCCTTCTCAGTTTTGGCTCTTTCGATTTCACTTTTCCAAGTTTTCTTTATTACCACAGGATTTGCTACTTACCTTAAAATCAGAAAAGAAATTAAATACATTGAATTTAGTTTTGCCTAAGGGTTTTTAAGACTTTAAGAATATAACCAAATACCAAATGATTCACAGTAATATTATGAATTCTGGTAACAGCAAATAAAAAAAAAACTGCATACAATACACCTCCCTCCTTGAATTTATAACCCTTAGCCAGACCACACTTTTTGGAGCTTTACTGTGGTGAATTGGTGAAGTTGTACTAAAATCAGCTTTCTAGTTGAAACAGGAACACAATGCTCAAGAGTAGCTAGCAGAAAAGTCCCTGAAAACTTATATTCAAACAATAAGGTTGCATCAACTTATATATGGAAAATTGTCTTTTCAAAAGTTGACTAGAAATGTCTTCTTAATCTAAGCATCTAAATTACAGAGCTACTGTATACTTAGACTCTGAAATTTAATTAGAAAAAAATGATTTCTCATTTCCCATATGCTTTGTATTTAAATGCTAAGAACACTTCTTTCTTTAAGAAAGCCAAAGCATGTGCCTTGATATATTTCTGAACTTTTAAACTTCTGAAGTAACTGTTAACAACACAAACACTTTTTGTGAAAACAGATCACTGCTATTACAAAGATAAAACCAGCTGGTCTTAACAATACAGTGATACTACCAAAAATTCAATTTACATCTGAGCTCCTCCAGTTGCCATCTGTACAGTAAAGCTTAATAAACCACTTATTCCTCCCAACAGATGCTAATCATGGATCGACAATACATAATCAAAATCTACTCTTTAACCCTTTCAGCAAATAATCATTATTAAATCTGGTTTGCAGCAGCAGCATTAAAACAGTTGGGAATAACTGTTACAGCAGTTGTGTCAGTAGTGAGGTTTTTTGTTTTGTTTTTTAAGACTGCCTTCCTACTATAAAATACAACACAAATGTAGTCTATTAATTTAGAAAAAAAAAATGTAATAAAGCTAGGTATTCTGCAGGGAAAAGTACCATTTATTAATTCCTACCTTGAAACTTCACGTCAATTTTTAATTTTACTGCCATAATTGTTTTATCTAGCATGTTAATTTGTTTTCCTTGATAAATAAATCTAAACATACACATACAAGCATATACACGTACAAACACAATGACCCTATTTGCAGACAAATCAGCAACATACAGCAATAAACTACTTTTATTTCAAATTTTGAATTATATTATTTTCTAAAAATAACTATGCAAAAATAAATAGAAAAAAAGGCATAATTGCCTTCTGCCTTTTATTTACATGCTGTATAATTACTGTAAGCATATAAAACTGTAAAAATCGTATTATTTTTAGTTTCCTAGTCAATGTTAATTGTTGTTATTATACTGAAGCAAAGATATAATTAAATCTGCAGGTGCTACAGATGTATGAAGGAAGTAAATTCTCATGTTCCTTGGTGGATGGGCTGCTTTGAAAGCTTTTGTATTTTTTCTGAGCTTGCCAAATGTACATACACTGTCAAAAGAACCAACTGCTACTTTTCAAATACTATTACTACAAGCAACAAACAGCATGTTTTCATAGAATCAGAGAATGGTTTGGTTTAGAGGAGAACTTTAAAGCCCATGCAGTGCCACCCCCTGCCCCGGGCAGGGCCACCTTCCACCAGCCCAGGTTGCCCAAAGCCCCATCCAACCTGGCCTTGAGCCCTTCCAGGGAGGGGGCAGCCACAGCATCTCTGGGCAGCCTGTGCCAGGGCCTCACCCCCCTCACAGGGGAGAATTTCTGCCTTAGATCTCATCTAAATCTCCCTCTGTCGGTTTAAAAACACTGTCTCTTGTCCCGTCACTGCCAGCCCTGGTAAAATGCCTCTCTCCATCTTTCCTATGCTCCCCCTTTACGTGCTGAGAGGCTGCAGCCGGGGCTCCCCGGAGCCTTCTCTTCTCCAGCTGAACCCCCCGGCTCTCTCAGCCCGTCCTCACAGCAGAGGGGTTCCAACCCTCGGACCAATTTTGTGGCTTCCTCTGGACCTGCTCTAACAGGTCATGTCTTCATTGTAATGGGGACCCCAGAATTGTTTGGGGGAAATATAAACCCAAAGATTCCTTTTCCATAAGCAAGTGCACCTGTGTTCTGAGTATTTACATGATGAAAAAAGGCAAATACAGCTACATATCTAGATACTTAAGCTAACTTCTGACAAGAAGAATGGGAACAGTTGCAGGGAGGGAGCTAATGATACACTTGTATTGCCATAAAAGCATAGAACTATGTTTGTTACTCAAGTTCACCAAATCTTTCTTTCCCCCTTACCTCTTGGTACATTGTGTTTCCATTTGTTATCAACAGTTTCTCATTAGTTGTCAGTTCCCAGACTTCTTATCAAACTTCACTTATAGTTGAACAGTCACATTTTTTGTACAATTTCTTTTGTTCTGAGAAGTAGCAGCTGACAAGTGATAAAGCACATGGTTTTAAAAAAATAAAAAGCAAGATGTTTGCATAACTTGCATGTTTCTGCAAGTCTGCTGTGTTTTTACTTCCTTTGCAAACGGGCTACTATTTACATACACTTCAGTTTCAGGTAAGGTAATTCCTTTTCCTGGCAATTTGCTTCTATATTTTAGAACCAATAATTCAAACATACAGTATCTTCTCCTGGGCCTGACAGTTAAAAAGCTCAAACATATTTTTTGTTGTTGTTCACCTTCACACTCCTAGTCACCAATTCAAAGTAGGCTAATGCATATTTCGTCACTGTGAAAATAAACTGGATGGTTTTCAAAACCCGTCAAATCCTTATTTCTACTTTCTGTAGAAAGCATGATTTACAAATCCTTTAACATCTTTCTCTATTTTGCTCAAGTTTGGGGTTTTTTTTCCCGCCCCTCTCAGAGATGGAAAAAAAACTTAAGTCTAGATGTCACCTACAAAGATTCTTCTGCTAACTGCAGCATTCACCAACTCTAGAATTCCTGTAATGGCAACATCTCTCATAAACATAACTTGTCATCACAATTTTGGTTGAATTCTGAGGCCTCTCTTAACTTTACCTTAACTCTCTTTTTGTTCAGTCTTCTGCTCAGCTGACCTGCTACTTTTAAATCACTTGTTTAATTACAGCCTTTAATAAACTGTTTAGCTACAACCATATAGGAAATTTTTAGAAACCATTATCTGCATAACTTTCAAGTTCTCCGTCAACATTATGCAGTATTTCTGCTTCCACAGGTAAAGTGTTACTGTTAGAATTCACCACCACGACCTTTTGGAACAAATAAAAAAAGCGCCATCATTAGGGATTAAAAGAATTTTGTAATTTAGGAGTAGAAATTAGTATCCTTGAGAACCTCTTATCTAAAAATGCATGACTTCAACAGCATAAAAAAAACAACCAACAACAAAAAAAACCCACACAAAACCACCAAACCCACAAACAAATGAAAAAAAACCCACAACTCACAAGGAATTATTACTTGCCATTTTTCCTTATCTTTTCAAGCTCTCCCCTGAGCAACCTATTTGTTACAACAGAATGCATACTGAAGTGCTATTTCTTTGTTTGGATGGAAGGGTTGTTATTGCTTCGTAACAAAGTATGTTCTATAGGCTAAAGAATTGACTGTACCCACAAAAATGTTAGAGATGACTAAGGATATGTTAGGATGACTAAGGATATGTTTCTGTTTCTTTTTCAGAGATTTGACATTTTTCATCCCTCACAAAAGGATTAAGTAACTTACACTGGGCCATAAACACACAAGCAGAATAAACTGGTACACTGAGTTAGTACAAACCATCAGCCTTAAAAACTAAGCTTGTTGAGAGAAAAGATGAAAAACCTGAATATTATTTCCTCTGCATTTTTTAAAGCCTATGGAAAAACTGATCAAATCTGCTGTATCTTTCTATAAATTCCCCCTGTTCTTCTACAAATCACATATTTAAATGAAGAAAAGTTATGCATGTCAACTCAACCATTTACGGACCGTTCTTCTCATTCTACTAAGGTACTTCTTTG